TGTCCTGAAAGAGCAATAGGGGAAGGGGACAACACTAATGTTGTAATCATAGTAACAATAGTGGTTCTGTGTCTGTAAAACAATGTGTATTACTGGCCAGCCGGAGCCAAGATTTTTTTAATTTTTGTTCCGACCTTGGAACGATCCTGAATGACCTTGCAAACAAGCAGCTCTACTCAAAACGACAGCTGATGACATTCTCTCCATGTGTGAACAAACAAGTGACCCATATTGGGTCCGTGAGAAGTTGCTGCACAGCAGAGTTATGGAGGTGAAGAGAGGAGAGGGCTGACAGAAAGTAGGCCTCAGAGCGATGAAAGCAAAGGGAGAGAGAAGGAGGGAAAAAGAGAAATAAAGGTTGTGTATTTGTTTCTCCTTCATGGCCTGTGCTGCCCCATTGGACCTGGCCGCTACAGGCCAGCCGCAGGGCAACCTGTGCTTCTCCTATTTTGACTATGTAATTGAAGACTGAATGCTCCCCTCAGACCCCAGATCAGCTCTATGGATAGTAATATGTCCCATGTGGCCACATTTCCAGTCACATGCAGTCATCGTTTCTCTTGTTAATGCCTTGAATATATTCCTGACCCACAGGCTAGTCATATGGTGATTCTGTTAATCGTTCTGTGACACTATTCATTTTTTTAGAATAGATCCTTGATGGCTAGGGGTATAGCAACAGAAACAATTTCCTGAACTCTGCAACTGTGTTTTGTTTTTGATCTCTGACTCCCTGCTCTTTCTTATCAGTCTCTGAGTCAGGCGTAGGTGTGGTTCTCTGGTGATGATGACAATCAAAGGAGGATGTGTGCAGTAAAGTGGATGAATCAACAATAAACTGGCCACAGAGAAGGCAGACAAATGGCAAAAAAATGTATCCGTCTAGCATGCCACAGGCAACCAATGTGGTTTCCCTGTTTTCCTTCTTTCTGGATGTTCACCATCCAAAAATGCAAGTGACTTGTTAGTCAGTATACAGCAACATGCAGGCTGAGCTAATGTATGTTTAGTGGGATCATTAATTGTGACAGGGTTACAATTAAGGGAAGACCTAACTACATCACACTGCCCTCATTATATAGCAAGTATGTTCTTGATTGTGAAACAAAGGTAGACAACCATGGTTTGATAAGACCCCTTGTTTAATGAGACTTTGCTGTAACTCCTCAATTAGTAAACAGGTCTTCCATTCAAGCCTGGGCACCCCAATTCTCATTTTCCCAAACATGACACATCACCACCTCTTGCTGCCCCAAACCCTGCACACCCCCACACACCCCCTGCCCTTAGCCTTCAGTGTCCCATACTGGGTCTTGGCATCCGCCTGAACGTTCAGGACACACAGACTTTTCCCCCAACCTCCTTGAATTCCCTACCCCCCTTTCCTCTTCACACACACCCATTTGATTGTGATTGACAGCATCTTTGTTCCATTGTGTGGAGCTGTCGCCTCTGATGAAGACACATACACAGAATTTAGAGGTCTGCGACCAGCTGCACTGTCCTCTAATGATGAGCTCAATGCATTCGAATTGGGTGAATGTAACTAG